TCAGGCGGGGTGGACATGGGGTCCAGGCCCGACTCGACTGGGCTGTTTGTGGCCCAGGTGGACAAGAGGCCTCTGTCCCGGCCCCTCCACCCACCTGCCCGCCCCCCACAGGGAGCACAGAATTCCCGGAAAGGCCAGGGGCTGGCTGGGGCTTCAAAGCTAGCCTGGAGGCTCCCACCCCACTCGCAGTGGGAGGAGGGTGAGGGATGGGGCGTTCACTTCCCCACAGCAGGAGAGAGACTCCTGCACACTCAGGGATCACAGCCCCATCCAGGGGCTTAGAGATGGAGGCAGGCTCGCCATCACCCACAGAGGTACAAACTCACATGCAGACTCCCAGCCACACACAGAGAATATAGGCTGACCAATACGAACACGCGCAGATGGCACATGGAGAGCCCAGGCCATGGGACAGCCACATATAGCCACACAGAGTGACTTAGTCTGATAAGTATCATCACCCACTAAGCCGCACACAGAGATCACAGACGGATGCAGTGATAGGCTCACACTGCTTTACAGCCACTACAGACTCACAGACATCATCACCCATGGACTCACAGCCACACCAAAGAGAACCAACAGGCAAATCACACACAGACTCACAGCCACACACGGAGCCAGAGCACACAGACAAATATGATTCCACAGAGCCGACAACATCATACACAGGCCCAGCATCTCCAACACACGTGATTCCAGGTTCAGATGACCCTGGAGGCCAACATCCAGGTTCAGCCTCTATCATGATACCTCTGTGCATGTGAATTTGTGTATGAACTTGCGACCACATACAGCTCTGGTCACAGAGAGAGAGGCACCCACAGGCAGACACGATTGTACAGACAGAGAAGCCGCAGCTACAGACACATGCACAACTGCATTCAAGCAGATAGGTGCACACAGCCGTGTATACACAGCTATTCACACAAATCAAGTCGGGGAAGACATGCACAGGGAATGCATATGTAGGCGCACAAACTGGAAAAACAGGGATGCAGAGAGTACACTTACTATCATTACAAAGAGGAAATGCAGAAAATACACCTAAAGCTGCATGAAGAGGAAACAAGGGAACATACACTGGCACCAGAAGAAATGCCCTTAGGGAGCACACACCTATAGCCACTCACCGAGGAGAGATGCAAACATGGTGCCAGAGAAGAAAGACACACAGACATCGGAGACACACACACAGAGGAGAGACAGATAAACACACTTCTCACCCACGAGCATTACAAAGGAGACACATAAGCACCCAGGGAACACACACACACACAGCCCCATATAGATGAATTGCGCAAGCAGATGGGACCAACACACAGTTGTCAAAAAGGAAACACACGAGTTGGATAGGCAGCGATAGACACAAGACACAACCAGGAAAGTAACATAGTAAGACACACGTGGAACTCACATACATGTGTTTGTTGCTGGGAACACGTACAGGTAGCTGAGATACCCTCAGGGTATTCATACACAGGCGCGCGGGCACAAGCCAGCGGGTGCACACACACACACCACTCCACCGTCTATCCCGGCCTACTCCGTGTCTCTCGTCTCTCTCCTCTTCCCCCCTGAGAGCCATTAAACATCTGTGCTTCAGGCCAGCCAGGGAAAGAGACACCTGTCAGCAGAGGCCTTGGCCCAAATGACTAAGGGGCGGGGGGACGGGGACTGGCTAGGCAGGTGTCTAGATTCCAAGAAAAGTTTGAAGTGTCCCATCCAAAGAACTAGTGAAACTTCAACAAAAAACAGATGCCCTCACCCACCACCTCCCAGCAGCAGCTTCCTCCTCTGATCATTGTCCTCCCCTCCAAGGGCCAGCCCTGGCCTCCAACATTGCCCAGCACAAGGCCACCTGGGCACACAGCTGGAGGTCAATGAATGCTACTTATCAAGTGTCATATTATCATCATTATTTTTATTTCTGCCAAGTGAACTCTTCTAGGGGAGGGGCAAACCTTCATCCAGCTCTGCACCCCATAGCTAAGTTTCAGGGCATTGCAAATAGCAGGTGTTCCACATATGCTGGTAGGAGGAAAAACAAAGGGAAAGTGAAATCTGGCTGCAGAGGCAGCCTGCTTTAGAAGGAACAGATGTCTTTAAGCTTGACCGAGGCCTTGAGGCCGTGCCAGGGATAAGAACGCTTTGTTCGTTCATCAAAGTAGGGCCCTTTCTCAGGGTCATTTAAGGCTTTTGTTGGTTCATTAAAGCAGACCCTCGTGGGACGCTTGGGATTCCTATCGAATCTATTAAAAGTCAGTTTAGGATCTTGTCGGTTCTTCTAAGCAGACCCCTGCTTTTCATTAAAACACTACTCAGCGGTCTTCAGGGGAGGGAGACACGGAGCAAAGCAGTTAACAACGCAAGCTTTCCCAGCTCTGCCACTTAGGAGCTGTGCGGCCAGGAGCAAGTTTCGAAACCTCACTGTTTCAGCTTCCCACAGGGCTTACTACTGCCTAACTCAGGGCCATGGGGAAGGTTGAATGAATTAATACAGGTGAAACGCTAAGAACAATGCTTGACATACAGTAATCGCTCAATAACATCTTTGTGAAAGGAATTAATGAACTCTTCTCTGCCAGTGAAGGCATCCCCCCACTGAGCTGGGTTTGGATTCTAATCTCTCCTTTCATGCAGGCTCCCCACGGATAACTCTTCCGTCCCTCAAAGCAGCCCGTAGACGGCAAGGCTTTTTGAGTCAGTGTCTGGTCCCCTGCACCTGGACCACCCCCGTCTTTCCCTCACGTGGTAAGATGCCCTCCAGCACAGGGCCGGCCTGGCAGCTCCCCTCTACTTGACCTTTTCAGGAGGCTGAGGGGAGGACACCTTTACACTCAGTGGGGTGCTGGGTGGGAGCTGCAGGCGGACACCCCACTTCGGGAAGAGCCTGGGGAGTTCAGAGCCTGGCTCCTGTCCCCCAATCCCCCCAGCCCTGCTGGCGGAAGCAAGTTTCTTTGCAAAAAATTAAACATCCTCTTTGTGAGAGGCAAGAAAACAGGAAGCATCCCACAGGGTGAACATGGGCCCCCAATGCCTGGCACCCCCTCCTCTCTGTGGAGCAGCGCCTGGTGGCTTGAACCCTTGCTTTCTCACACTTGCTCACCTCTGCAGGGGAGCCATGTTCCCACCGCCCCCCACAATGCCCTTGAACTCCGCTGAGAAGCTCTGGCTTCCTCCCTGGCTCTCCAGGGTCTCTGCGCGGCTGTCTACACCTCCTCCCAGGGCCCCACATAAATGCAGAGCTCACCACTACGGAAAGAGTGAAGGAACAAAGCAACAAAAGGGTGAATTCAGCAAACATCTATTGAACACCACCTGTGTGCCGGGCCCTATTCTAGGCGCCAGGGAGGCAGCAGTGAACAAAACAACAGAAACCCCTGCCTAGCGAAGCTCAACATTTCTCAGGAATGATGAATCTATCGTTCAGTTGTTTGAATACTCGCCAAGCTCATTCCCACTTCAGGGTCTTTGCACTTGGTGTTCCCTCTGCCTGGAATGCTCTTCCTCCAAATATTCCTAGGGTGTGCTCCCCTTCAGGTCTCAGCTCAAATGTCACCTCGTCAGAAAGCCTTCCCTGAACACACTGTCTAAAATAGCAATTCAATCCCTGTTACTCTCCAATCTTTTCACCCTCCTTTATTATCCTTCATAGCTTTTATCACCACCTGACATATTTATATACTTAATAGTATATTTCATTTAGTAGTTACTTTAGTAAGTAGATATGTATAGATACTAGCAGATTTATATATACATATATCAGCATATACATTTATATAAGATATGTATATTTTATACATAAACTATACAAAAAAGCATAGATATATTTCCACATGACATATTTATATTTATTTGCTAATATATAATTTATATACTAGTAAATATTAGACATCACTATATATTTCTGTATCATCACATACGCAGTAAATGGCATATGTTTACACATAGAATATATATATATATATATATTCTCCTTTGTCTCCTTTTCCTCATCTGTAAACTGGGGAAAACACAGCTATTATTAAAAATGAAATTATGTACTTATAATTAAATAAATTAGATTTTAAAAGGTGATACTCAAAACTCATCACTTCTTAATTATTATTTTACTACATTTCATTATTTCTATGCTCCTGAGATCATTTATCCCTATTTTAATTGTACTGTAGAAATAATACACAATGGTGCACTAGTGCATCTCTTCCAAGACTCTGTGTTCCGTGACTACACCTTGGTAAGCTGAAATTTGACAAGATGATAGTATGTAAACCATGGAAACTGGCAAATGTTAGAAATCAGGGCTTCCTCTCTCTCTCCACCTAAAGAGCTGATTGTTAACCATTTACCAGCACACCACTGAGAGCACTCAGAAGAGTGCCTGGCACATGGTAAACGCTGTAACAAATGTTTCCATTACTATATTTGCTTGTGCACTGGGTCGAGATGCAGTCTTTTTTTCTAGGTCCGAGTTAAAAGTGTTTGAAGAACACAGAATTACAGTGTGCGGAACTACACCTATTTAATCCTGCCAATGACTCTCTGTGGAGTCTGAACTACTTGTTATCCCCATTTTACAGAAGAAGAAACCGCAGTTCTGAGACGGTAACAGTCAGAAGGCGCTATCAGTTAGCGGAAGTGGGATTTGAAATTGCAGCCGAGCAGCTTCTGCGCGCTCGCGCACTTAATTAACGCACTCTCCTTCCTCTCAAATTCGCTACCCCAGAGGTGATTGCACTTCGCGGCGTGCGAAAAATAAATAGGTGCCGCCGCGCGCGTTGTATCTTGGGAAATGTAGTCCACAGGTTCAAGGAATACTATTGTACAAGAAGGGGGGGGCGGAGAGTACGTCGATTTTCGCCCTGTAACAAAAGAACAAAGTCAGTTCTCGTGCCTCGCGACGTTTCAGCCATGCCGTGCGCGACTTTGGCGCTTTACTCGCGCCCGTTGCATGCTGGGAACGGCAGTTCGCCCGAACGGCTACGTCGGCGCGAGATGGCGGAACTCACGTGGTACGTTCAGGTCTGGTCCCCGCTTGGCGCGAGCTACCGCCTTCCACGATGACAGGCTTTCCACGCTCTGGTTGCCCTTAGGCATGCGCGACAGACATTCGGATCAACTAGAATACAAACTGAAGCCCTACGACTTCTCACCGGTTTGCGCTCTCGCCGAGGCTCCGGCTGCTTGCGGACCGGCCTCCTTCGTTCCGCTTCTCCCCACTCCGAAAGTTTAAGGTAGGCCCTGGGGCGCGGAGGACTTGGGTCCCGGCCAAGACGGTTGAGGCATGCCTGCGCTGTCCCGCCGGTGAGGGAAGGAGGCAAGTTCGCCCTCGGCGCTGCAGCTGCGTAGTCCGGGCAGCTGGCACCAGGTAGGCTCCAGACCCAAGGTTTGTCTGGAGAAGGGGACCACTCATGCGGGATGGTCTGGGGGTAGGCGGGGGGGCGCAGAGGTCCAGATACCGGCGGAGCCGGTCTTGTGGTCCCAGTGGGGACTTGGGCTTTCAGGTAATGATGAGGAGGGACCGGCGGTGTAGCCAGAGAGCTGTTAATGGGTGGGTGTGGAGGTTTGGTGGGCTGCGTGGGTGTAATAGAGGTCTGGTGGGAGTGTTATTGGGGAATCGGTGAGGGCTAAAAGGCGTGTTTTAGTCGATGTGTTCAAGGGGGCCAATGGGATGTGTTCGTTAATTAATGAGGGGATGGTAGAGTGGGCAACTAGAAGATAATGGGAGGTAGGTTGGAGTGTGATCCTTGAGGGACTGATGGAGGTATGATATTCAACGGGTTAAAGAGTGGTGGGGCATAGTGATTGAAAGGATAATGGTGCGGCTGTGGAGGGAATAATAGAGGCCGGTAAAAGTCATGATCAAGGAACTAATGGGAGTAGTGATCAAAGAAGAGAATGAGAGGCTGAAGGGGTGTTGTAATCAAAAGATTTTAGTGGGTGATGATGGTATGATCATTGAAGAATTAATAGGAGCAGAGTGAGCAAAGAGGGGGTGATAGTAAGCTGTTGGGTGTGATCATCAAGTGATTGTTGGGTGGGGATAAAGGTGGGCAGTGAGGGGAGAATGTGGAACTGATGTATGATTATCAGGGATTAACATGAATGTGTGGTAGTGAAGGGTTACAAGGGGCTAGTGGTGTGATCTATGAAGGATCAGTTGGAGGGCCAGGTTAATGGGGACTGATAAATCATAGTAATTGAGAGCTCGATGGGGGACTAATAGACCATGATTCTCCAGGCATTAATGGGGGGGCGGTGATAAAGATGTAGTAATAAGGGGATTATTGGGGGCCTAATCACTTCAGGGGAGAGAGATTAAGGAGGTGGGGAGTGCAGTGAGGTAGTATGAGGATAATGGGGTGAAAGCAAGGGATTAATGGGGGGCTCGTAGGGCTATATGACTCTAGGGGCAATGAGGAGAGCTGGGAAGACAGTAAGATGTTATTGGGGGTAAGGTGGGCAGAGAAGGGTTGATAGTGGGGTTTAATATGTGGTGTGTGAGTGACAGCAGTGGGAGGTGGACAGGGTCAGTAATGGGTCATCTATGAGATAAGGGTTGGATTTGTGGGATCTTTGGGGGGGATCTGTGGGGTTAGTGATGGAGCCTGAGAGCTCAGTGGTGGGGTCCTTCAGGCTCAGTGAGGTCATTGGGGTTAGTGACTGGGCTCCAGCCTTCCCACCTGTTGAGTGAGCTGTCACATGGGTCAGATGAGCCCGGTTTAGTTTTTGTGGTTCTCGCTGCCCTGCAGAGGTAGGTGATGGCCCACTTACTGATATAGGGCGGCGTCAGCTTACTGTTGGCAGGTCCCTGGGCAAACAGTGCGTGAGATGGGACGGACATCAAAGGATAAGCGGGATGTCTACTACCGCCTAGCCAAGGAGAATGGCTGGCGTGCCCGCAGTGCCTTCAAGCTGCTACAACTTGACGAGGAATTCCAACTCTTCCAAGGTCCCCACTTGGTGGGCGAGTCATGGGGGGATGGGGTGGGCGAAGGGAATAGACAAGTGGGCTAGGTCTACAGAGCTCCCTGTGGTAGGTGGGCTGACTTGGAGGGTCTATGGGGCAGGGGCCAGGCAGGAAGATGGGCAGGTATGCGAAAGGAGCTGGGCATCTAGGCAGCAGATAGATATGGGTGCTCCCCAGGGGAAAGGGGTGAACTTTGTAGGGTCCCAGGTTGGAGAGGTGGGTGCAGCTGACCACTACACCTTCCTGTGTGTGCTCAGGTGTGACGCGGGCAGTTGACCTGTGCGCGGCCCCGGGCAGCTGGAGCCAGGTGCTGAGCCAGAAGATTGGGTGAGTGTGGAGTCCCAGATGGGAGAGTGGGAGGGCAGGTTAGATGGAGGGTGGACCAGGAGTGATAACTGGGCTGACATGGACCATGTTGTCCACAGGGGCCAGGGGTCCGGCCACGTGGTGGCCGTGGACCTTCAGGCAATGGCTCCACTACCAGGTGTGTTACAGATCCAGGGGGATATCACCCAGGTGAGAGCATGGCTTGGGGTGTTGGGGTGTATCCTGGGCAAAGGCCCCCCAACCTGGGGGCTACGGCAAGTGGAAGAGAGAAAGAGAAAGACAGACTGAAAAAGACAGAGATGGAGTAACTGAGAGAACCCAAGAGAGTGTAACAGCAGAGAAACAGAGCCAGCCTGTCATCATCACAGAGAGACAGCAAAAAATGATCCCAGAGATGGAGCCTGGTCTTAGGCAAAGCCTGAGAATTTGGCTGACCCAGGGGCTGCGGGCCAGGGCCAAGGGCAGGTGGGGTTAGAGGGCTGTGGAGGGGGTGCTTTGGGGCCACTCATCCTCCCTCTTTTCCATAGCTGTCCACTGCCAAGGAGATCATCCAGCACTTTGAGGGCTGCCCCGCGGACCTAGTGGTGTGCGACGGGGCTCCTGATGGTAAACAGCAGGGATTGGGAGGCCAGGCGGGGGCCCTATGTGTGTCCTTCTCTGTATGTCCCGCCTCTGTTGGCTTCTTTTACTGCCTCTCCTCTCCACTGTCAGCTGTTCCTATATCTAGCAACTTCTCCCTACGTCTGTTTCCTATTCTCTGCCTCTGTCTTCTCCCTCCCCGTACCCTACCATTTGGGTTTTGTCCACCCTTTCACCTTCTTATTGCTCATCTCTCTGCAACTGTCCAATTCCATCTTAGTGTTAACTCTTTTTCTTTTTTTATTTTCAGTTAGTTAGCCATCCATCCATTCAGCGCATTTACTGAGCACCTGTTGTGTGTCGGGCACTGTTGTACATGTTGGGAAAATATTTGTGAATAAAATTCTACTAATCTCTGACCTTATAGAGCTGGTGTTCTAGTGGGAGCAGACAGAAGGGAAACAAGTGATTGAGCTATGTAGCCTGTCAAAAGGTGATAGGTACCATGGGGATGTCAATGAAAAGGAGAGGGAAGAGGGGAGTACCTGTAGGAATTTTAAATAAAGTTGGGAAGGCCTCATTGGCTTCAGCACAAAAACCTAAAGGAGTCAAGGGAATGGGCCAGGGGCACGTCTGGAGGAAGAACAATCCAGGTAAAGGAATTGGCCTATGCAAAGGCCCTGAGGTAGGAGGGTGCTTGGCATGTGTGAGGTATAGCGAGATCAGCGTGGCTGGATCGGAGTGAGTGAGCAGGAGAGTTGTAGGAGGTGAGAACAGATCCTTGTGTGGATCTTTCTGGGCCACAGTGGTGACTTTGGCTTCTTCACTGAGATGAGAGCGTGGGGAAAACCATGAGAGGGCTGTGAGCAGAGGAGGGCCGTGCCTGACTTGGGTTGTGACAGGATCCCTCTGGCTGCTGTGAGCAGTGTGAGGGGTGAGACCTGGGGAGGGGAGGCTGCTGCAGTCGTCCAGGTGGAGTTGAGAAGATTTGCTAATGGCTTAAATGTGGGTGTGAGGAGAGAGTGGTGGGTGGGTGTGTGTCAAAGGTAACTCGAAGATTTTTGGCTTGAACAACTGGAAGGATCAGATGAGATGGGAAAGATGATGGGAGGAGCAGGTTTGGACAGGAAGATCGGGAGTTTGTTTTTGGATGTATTGAGTCTGAGATGTTCGTTCTGATCTGAGTCTGGAGTCAAGAGGAACAGTCTGGACTGGAGGTAGAAATGATGATAACAATATTCGCGCCTGAGGTGGTTTTGAGACTAAAAATGAGTGCCTAAGGGTTAGGAGCTCAGAGTACGCATCTAGTTGGCAGATAGTATTTGCATGCAGAACCTTAGCAGTAAGAGAGCCTAGGAAATGTTTTTAGCTCTCTAACCTCTCTGGGAGGTTAGAACAGGAGCATAGCTAGACTGGAAGGCCCCCTAATGCTGTTCTCTTGATGCAGTAACCGGCCTCCATGATGTTGATGAGTATATGCAGGCCCAGCTCCTCCTAGCCGTGAGTAACCCTGGCTGCCCCTGCCTCAGTTTGGCCCCCTCCTGGCTGTCTCCACCTCAGCCTTAGCCATCTGTCCTGCCCACAGGCTCTGAATATTGCTACACATGTCTTGAAGCCAGGGGGCTGCTTTGTGGCCAAGGTAAGGCTCAGGGAACCTGGTAGGGGGTAGAGAGGGGTCTCCAAAGGTCATCCTCATGCCTTCATCTCTGCCTCCCCACCCTGCAGATCTTCCGAGGCCGGGATGTGACACTGATCTACAGTCAGCTGCGTGTCTTCTTCTCCACCGTGCTCTGTGCCAAGCCCAAGAGCAGCCGGAACTCCAGCATTGGTCAGTGGGGTGGAGGGGCCAGGCTGGGGGGTGTGCATCTCAGGGACCCATCCGCACGGGGTGGTGGTGGCAGTCGCCCCTCACTCCACCTTATCCCCACAGAGGCCTTTGCTGTCTGTAAGGGTTATGACCCCCCTGAGGGCTTCCTGCCGGACCTGACCAAACCCCTGCTGGACCACTCTTACGGTGAGAGCCAGAGCCCTGGGCCCCATCCCTGGGGAGAGTCTGTCCACCAATGGAATTTATGTCCCAGGAGGGCCCTCAGCCCCACCCCCTGGTGGAAACTCTGCACCTTAGGGGAATTCTGTCCCAAAAGGATCCTCAGCCCCATCCTCTGGAAATTCCACCCCCGTATGGATATTTTGTCCCAGAAGGATCTTTAACCCAGTGGCCTAGTGGTAACTCTTGGACCTGGTGAAAAGTCTGTCACAGGAGGATCCTGAGTCCTACCCCAAGGGAGACTCCACTTGTCTGCGGAGATTCTAGACTAAGAAGACTCAGTCACGCCCCAGGTGGAAACCCCACCCCTGTTTGGGAATGTCATCCTGTGAGGGCCTTCAGACTGGCCCCTAGAGGGAAAAAGCACAGAGCGGCTCTTGTGGCAGGCACACTTGAGTGAGACAAAGTCCAGACAGTATATGGCAGGTGGACATAAGTGCAGTCGGAGAAAAGTGGGTTGGGGGGGTGTGTGTTTTAGAACAGGTGATCATGGAGGGCTTCCCTGAGGAAGTGATCTGAACCAAATGAAGGATTTCTGGTAAAGGAGGGTAAGAGTAGCTGGTGGATACGTTGGGGAGGCCTTGGTACCCATCCTGGGTGCAGCCTGAGTCACGACTGTTCCCAGACACCCCAGCCCTGTCCTGCCTCATCTCTCCCTGCTTGTCAGATCCAGATTTCAACCAATTAGATGGTCCCACCCGCATCATTGTACCATTTGTGACCTGTGGGGACCTGAGTGCGTATGATTCGGACCGCAGTTACCCACTGGATGTAAGCGCCCAGCCAACAGTGGGTGGATGGGGGGTGCTGTCCTAGGTTCCCAGGTCCTCACCACCCCCTGCCGATATGTGTCCCTGCAGCTAGAGGACGGCTCAGAATACAAGTATACTCCGCCCACGCAGCCCCCCATCTCACCACCATACCAGGAGGCCTGCACCTTGAAGAAGAAGGGGCGGCTGGCCAAGGAGATGCGCCCCCAGGACTGCCCCATCAGCACAGTGGACACGTTGCCCCAGTCCCTGGCCGCCCCACAGCGCCACACCCTGCTGGCCTCTGAGGTCTGGAAACACGGGCCCAGAGCCCTTAATGCCCTTTCTCTGTGCCCACAGTGACCCCCTCCTCGTGTGCCTCCTTCTGCCCCAAATCACATGGTTTCTGGGACAAACTTCTCTTCCCTGCCTCCCAATAGCTATAAAAGTCAATGGGTAAAACCAAGTACAGTGAACGGAAAAGCTTAGCCAAGTATCTGAGTCCCTTCTTTTTTTCTTGAGTAGGTGGAAGACAGTGAAATGAACTGTTCGCCTTAAGATGTTAAGGTAAATTTGCCTTTTTGTCTAAGAATTTGAGTAAATGGCACCTTTAAGAAAAAACTGAGTAAAATTTCACCTTTGAAATTTTTACATCAACTGGTAAGATTTCAGTCAGCAGACCTTTACTAAAACACCTGATCTTATGTGCCAGGAACTGCTTTAAGGATTTTACATATTGAGGTACTCAGTAAACATTTATTGAGCACATGCTGTGTGCTGGGCATTGTTCTAGGTTTGAAGATAGAGCAGGGAATAACACAGCCAAATATCCTGGCCGTCAGAGCTTCTAGTTTGGGAAAGAGGTGATAAGCAATAACACAGTCTAAATGCAGGAGTTTCCACCCACATATACACAAACTATTTATCTTGACCTCTCTATATATGTACGTACACACACACACACACACACACACACACACATATATAAAATGTAAAAGTAATATGGGATATGAAGAAATTTTTAAAGCAGGGTAAAGAGGTCAAGAATTCTAGGGGGTGGCAGTTTGCAGTTTTTAAAAAGGTTATCATGGAAGGTCTCACTGAGGTAATGTTTGAGCAGAGACCTGAAGAAGATGAAGGAGGGAATCGTGTGTTTATCTAGGGGAAGAGCATTCCAGGGAGAGGAAATAGCAAATACAAAGGCCCTGAGGTGGAACCCTGCCTGGTATGTGAGGGAGCAGTGAGGAGCCAGTTTGCCTGGAACAGTCTGGGCTAAACCTATCAGTGCTGGAGGGCTTCGCACACTCAGGATACCACATTAGAGGACATCCCTGTCTGGCAATGGCTTTGCAGGTTATTCAGACCAAGTCTTCCATTAAAATAAGAAGTAAAAAAGACATCTTTAAAAAAATGAAATGGCAAATCACAATGGGAAGAGATATTTATAATCTCTATATATAGTATCCTTGATATTTAAAAAACTGCTATAAATCAGTAAGGAAAAGAAAATATGAGAATGGCCAGTAAGCACATGAAAAGCTGCTCATCAGGGAAATGCAGGCTAGAACTAAAAAGATTGACAATCCTAAGCGTCTGGAAGGATGCGCAGCAGTTGGAACTCTTGAATACGCCCATGGCAGCATATAATGGTGTAGCCACTGGAAAATTGTTAGGCATTATCTGCTAAAGCTGCATGTGTGCCAGTTCCACTCCTAAGAAATGAGTACTAGAATGTTCCTAGCCAGCACTATTTGTAGTACCCCCAGACTAGATACAGCCCAAATATCCAATAGCTGTAGTATGGATCGTTAAATCCTGGTTTATTCGCAGTGGAGAACTACACATCAAAGAATGAACATTATATGTTTTATGCATTTTTCTGTGTGTTATGGTTCACAATGAAAGTAAAGGAAAAAACTTCAAAAAAATGTTAGTAGCTGAGCAAACAATGGTTATAGTAGAAGACAGTGGGGAAACATATTTTGGTTTAAAACTTCCTTTTACTTTGACCTTTAGTTAGCTGGCAATCTGATAAGGACTCGGAAGCTGTTTGCTGTCAGGAAAACCAGAACTTGAGTTGATGAACTTGTTTTCAAATATCTCATCAACCGGTCCTGAACATACAAGCTCCGAGTGGGAACCTGGAGCAACCACCAGGAACACAGCAAGGAAAGAAACATCACGGAATGTCCGTCTGCACTGCAGAGGGGATTCTTGAGTGGGGTCTTGCCTCTTCTCTGAATCTTTCCAGCCGTGTCCTGATTATGTCCAGAATTTACCCTGAGAGCGGGGGTTCTTAACCTTGGTAGAAGTCAGGGTTATGTGTGGATTTGATGGAGGGAAATATTACATCTTTATTTTCACTAATATAACTGAAATTTTAGCTATACTCCCGGATATGAATGCTGGCGTCAAATCACAATAGTAAAAGCAGTGCCTGCAGCTTCCACCAATACAGATCACAGTTACTTTTTTATGTTATGTTACAGTCGTTGCAGGCATCTTAAAATATTGTTCACATTGGTCGCTACTTTGAATAAGATCTTAAAATTTGATGTATTAATAAAAAAAAGTTCATATAGCATCCCAATGTTGTTTCATTTTAACATGGTAACTATTTTTCTAGTTTTATTGAAATATAATGTGTAAGTTGAAAGTGTACAACATAATGATTTGATACATGTGTATATTGCAAGATGACTACTGCGGGTTTAATTAACATCTATCACCTCACATAGTTACAGTTTTTTTTCTTGTGATGGGAAGTTTTAAGATTTGCTCTCTTAGCTACTTTCAAATATACAATATAGTATTGGTAAGTATAGTCACTATGCTGTATATTACATCCCCAGAACTTATTTATAACTAGAAGTGTTGTACCTTTTGACCACCTTCACCCATTTTTAGATTCCACATATAAGTGAGATCACACAGTATTTGTGTTTCTCTGACTAATTTCATTCAGCATAATACTTACCTCAGGGTCTGTCCACGTAGTCACAAATGGCGGGTTTCCTTTTTTTATGGCTGAATAATATTCTATCATATGCATATACCGCATTTTCTTTATTCATTCATCTGTCGACAGACCCCTAGGTTGTTTGCATATCTTGGCTATTGTAGATAATACTGCAGTGAACATTGGGGTACAGATAGCCAGATAGCTCTTAGAGGCAGTGATTCCATCTCCTTTGTATATATACTCAGAAGTATATATTTGGGATACGGGGAATGCTGGATCATATGGTAGTTCTATTTAATATTTTGAGGAACCTCCATGCTGTTTATTTAGTTTCCATAACCCTGTGTATTTGAGTGTGTGTGTGTGTATGCACACGCACACGCATGCTTTCAAAAATATTCTATGAAGGGGTCCACAGACTTGATGAGATCAGATGCCAAAGGGTTCCCCAGAACAATTTTTTTTTTTTTTTAGCTATGCTGCATAGCTTGTAGGATCTCAGTTCCCTGATCAGGGATTGAACCCACACCACGGCAGTGAAAGCCCAGAATCCTAACCACTAGGCCACCAGGGAACTCCCCAGAGCAAATTTTTTACATTAAGAACCCCTCTCTTAAAGGAATATCAGAAAGTCTGCCATGACTGCCGCCCTGAATTTCTATATTTTAGCAAACAGGAGCTGACAAACACGAGCTACATGGGCAGACCCGGCTTCCGCAGCTTACCCGCTTATCTTTAGAAAATCACTGTTCTTTGTCCACACACCAGCCATTGACCTCAGGACTACCAACGTCCCAGTCTGTGACCCCAGGTGTTTCTATACCTGACTTTGTGACCCTGGGAGTGTCCATACTGAGTCTAACCCCAGGGGGCCCACACCACAGCTTGTTAACCCAGGAGTCTTATCACCCACATCAGTATGACCACAGGAATGTCCACACCCCAGTCTGTGTGACTCCAGGAATGTAAAACAGAAGTATCCACACAAAAGGTGGTGTGTCCACACCCATCACCATGTAAATTCAGCAGTGTCCACACTAGAGTCAGTGACGTCCCAGGAGTGTGGACAGCCCAGTTTGTATAATCCCAGGAGTATCCACATCTCAATTCCCAGGAGCGTAAACACACCAGCCTTTGGGACCCTGTGGGCATACTCACCTCGGGCTGAGTGTCCCTGGTGTCCACCCCCATCTGTGTAACGTCAGAAGTATACACCGAAAGTCTCTCTGACGGGAGCAGTGTCTAATTCCCAGTCTGTGCAAGCCAGTGGAGTCCACACCCCCAAGTGTGTGGCCGAGGAGAGGCCCACCCAGCCTAGGCCTGCTCTCTGAGCTCAGGAGTGCCCACTCTCCACCTGCGTGGCCCTAGTCTTGTGACTCCAGGAGTGTCCACGCCCCTCAGTGTGACCCCAGAATTTTCCACGCCAAAGTCAGTTTGTCCCCAGAGGTACATCCGTCCCAGCCCGTGTGTCCCCAGTGGGGTACTTACTTTAGTCTGAGTGACTCCTGGAGTGTTTCCACCCCAGTCTGTGATGACAGGATTGTTTATTCTCCAGTCTTTGTGACCCCAGGCTTTCCGCACCACAGCCTGTGTTACCCCAAAAGTGTACACGTCCTGGTCAGATGACTGCAGGTTTGTCAATTGCTTAGACTGTGTAACAACAATGGGTGTCCATTCCCCTGTCGCCGTAACCCCCAGGGTTACCACACCTCAGTCATTGTCACCCCCCAAGGGTGTCTACAGTGTAGTCTGTGTCACCACAGGAGGGTGTACACTCCAGTCTGTGTGACACCTGGAGTATTCAAAATATAGTCTGTGACCCCAGAAGTGTGCATATCCCAAAGCTTCTGACCGCAGCGTTGTAAAAACTCCAGTCTGTTTGACCACAGAGGTGCCCACTGCAAAGTATGTCAGTCAGCGGCAGTGCCCACGTCCCAGTCTGGGTGACTTCACCAGTGGCATATGTCAGGTTCTGTCACCATAGAAATGTCCACCCCCTCTGTCTGATCCCAGGAGTCTCCAGATGCCAATGTGTGTCCTGAGGGAAGCACACCCCTAGTCTGTGTTACGAAAGCATTGTTTGTTTACACCCCAGTCTGTCACTGTTGGCTTTCCACCTGCCAGTCAGTGTCCCCTAGGAGTGATCATTCCTCAGCGCTTGAAACACCAAGAGTGTCCACACCCCAGTGTATGTAACCCCAGGAGGACCCACAGTCAGCCTGTGTTTCTCCAGAAGGGTCTACACAATAGTCTGCATGACCCCAGGATGATCAACTTTCTGTGTGACCACAGGAGTGGCCACCACCCAGTCCATGTGTCCCTAGGATGGTACACCCTTGACTGTGTGATCAATGAAGTCTCTATGCTCTGGGATCTGTGGCCACCAGGGTGTCACTCCCCAGCCTGCAACTCCAGAGCTTTCTACTCAGTGTGGGAGCGAGGAGTGTCCCCACCTCAGTCTCTGTGGCCCCACAGGCTCATTTACTACGTCATCCCTGTCACCCTAGGAGTAGCTGAACTCCAGTCTGCATGATGCCACAAGCGTCCACATCCCAAACAAGGTGAGCAGAGGGGTGTCTACACTTGAGTGCGTGTGACCATAAACATGTCCTCCCCTTGTCTTTGTGACCCCAGATGGGTCCGGTGGGTTTTACCCTGGCTGTATCCACATCCCAATGTTTGACTACAGAAACGTCCACAGCCCATCCTTTGTGACCCCCCAGGAGTGTCCACCCCACAGTCAGAGTCCAGAAGTGGCAACGGCTTAGTCTGTGTGACTTTGGGAGGTTCCACAGCACAGTCTGAGTGGCACCGTGAGTGTGATTATCTCAAACTGTGTGATCACAGAGGTGTCCACACTCCGGTCTCCGTGGCCCAGGAATGTCCACACCTGAATTTCTGTGACAGAAGCAATGTCCAATCTCGAGTGTATGTGACCCAGTATTGTCCAAACCCCACAGTTGCTGGCACAGCGTGTCTATACCCAGTGCCTGTGGCCTCAGGAGGGTGTGCTTCCATGAGGGTGACCACAGGAGTATGAAAGTCCCATGCCTGTGACTGCTGGTGGGTCTACACTCCAGTCTGGGTGACCCAGGGGAGGATACCCCCCATCTGTGTGACCAAAGGAGTCTCCATGCTCCAGTGTCTGTGATCACAGGGGCGTTGGTCACCCATTCAGTGTGACTAGAGGAATGCCCACACCAAATTCGGTGTGATCACACCACTGTCCACCCCCATCTGCCTGTCCTGAGAGGCATCTCTGCTGCGGTTGGTGTGATCCCAGCAGAGGGCACACTGCAAGCAGCATGACTACAGAGGTCTCCTTCTGGATAAACACAGGCTGACTGTGGGTCCTCCTGGTGTTACATACACTGGGGCGTGGACACTCCTGCCTATGATACTCTAGCAGTGTCCACGCCACAGTCCTTGGACTACAGTGGCTCCCCAGTGTATGTGTCCTCAGTCATGTCATTGTCCCAGTCTGTGGTCCAGACCCCAAAGTTTGTGACTCTGATGGTGTCCAAAGTTGAACCTGTGTGAGAAGGTACCAGATCATAGTCCATGTGACTCCAGGAGTGTCCACCCACCAATCTGTAGGAATCTAGGAGAACACATCCCAGCCCATGAGACTTCAGGAGTGGCCACGCCCCATCCTGCATGACCACACACCAGGCTGTGTGACGCCCTAGAGCCTCCACACCCGAGTGTGTGACCCCAGGAGGTCCACATTCCAATCAGTGTGACCCCAGGATTGCTTACACCCAAATCTAGTGACCTCATGAATGTCTACACTGTCATCTGTTTGATCCCAGGAGTGGCCACACCCCAGGCTATGTGACCCTGGGAGGATCCATACACCAGTCAGTGTGACCCCAGGAGGGGCTACATCTAGAGAAAGAGTAATCCAGACAAAGGGGGAAAGCCTGTGCAAAGGCCCTGAGGCAGGAGCATACCTGGCACACTTGAGGTAGAGTGGGAGCAGAGTGAGCGAGGCGCGAGTGGCAGGAGGTGAGGCCGGAGAGGTTACAGGGCCTGGTTCTGTAGGGCCTCTCTGGCCACGGGGAGGACTTTGTCTTTTTTTCTGAGAGAGATCTCAGAGCAGGGGTCTGAGCAGAGGAGGGCCGTGGGCTACTTGGATTGTAACAGGGCCCTCTGGCTGCTGTGAGGACAGACTGGAGTCCTTAAGTCAGATCAGAGATCAGGCTGAGCCATGGAGGGCAGGGGCCCCAGGAGCCAGGGCCATAACCACTTGATAGGCCTCCCCAGGGGGCTGTACATTCTCACTGGGGCATATGGTAGCCCTCCTCCTGTTGCCCAGAAACACAGGATATACTGGGGAGAAGTCATGGGGATTGAATGAAAATGACCTCACTGTGGGACCTCAGGCCAGCCTTGCCTTTCCCTGGGCCCTGGGTTTCCACCTTTGGCAGATGAGTATAATAATTCTTGCCCTGCCAATCTCTCCAGCATCTCTACTCACCTATTCTCTCCAACCACACTAGCCTCCTTGATGTTCCTCAAACACACCAAAGCATTATTCCCACTTCAGGGCCTGTGCGCCTGCTGTTTCCCCTGTGCTTGAACACTTGTCCCAAGATATGTACATCGTTCACAGTTACATG